CTGTCGTCGTCGCTAATGCAGATAACTCGTGGTCATGGACGACAACGTCTGGAGACTTCGCCCGGAAGTGCTTGAGGATTGCCATCGTTGCTGTGCGTTTTGGTAAGAGGAGGAGGCAATGAGAAAGGGGAGAGATTTGGTGACAGGGAGGAGGCGATGGCAGTCTTTAAATACCCGGGATTCAGTCAGTCGGCGAACCCCATGCCCCTGTCTGCGAGCGGCTGTCGCAGACGTGCCGCCCAGCATTGGTCCGAGGCAGATTCGCCTGGTGCCTTTCCCTGCGGTGCCAGGGTTTCCGGGGTGCTCTGGTGCGGTGGTGGGCGCAAGCATGCGCTCCTCGAAGGGGTCACCTGGTATCGTCATTACCACGTCGCGAGGAAAAATGCGTGTTCGGCGAGGCGGCGTTCATGGGTTGTCGTCCTTGAGAGCACGCCGAGGCGCTCAAGAGGATGTGATATCCTCAGGCCCGTTCTCGCACTGGTCCCAGGACCGAGCATGTTGGATCCCTCGTCCAGGGATGCGCCTGTGTACGTAGCACATCATGCGCGGATCCCAGCACATCTGTCTATTTTCTGCTGTTTGGCACCCCGTCGACTTAGCCGATGTGCGTCTGGGAGTCAGAGGGGCTGGTGCCCGTGTTGCCCACCGTACCCTTGGCCATACTGTGACATCTCCCAGATATAAAACAGTAATCTCCTTGCCTTGGTGACTTTTCCGACATCACCGTCCGTCACCATACTCTTCAGGCGCTGACAATCGGGAGGCGTCGTGGCATATCCAGCCAGCCTGCCTGTTACCAATGGAGCGGAGGATGTAAACACATTCGGAGAAGGGCTGTCGGTCATGGGCGTAGAGTGCTTTTGTATCGAACCGAGACGCGAACAAACCGGGCTGAAGTTGTGTCCTCAGCACGTCTAACGGGAAGGTGAATTTTGCAGTAGCAAAGCCTCCGGATCTGGGTAAATGTAAGTCTTCTGCCGAAGTCAAAGACCTGGGGAACTTACAAGGAAATCTTGTTCCTGCGCGGAGGGGTTGGTCTGCTTTGGGGCGCATGGATCGACGTCTGAGTCCATCATGGCATGTGGTTTGGCATATGGCGAAGTGGGTCGTTCGGATTAACATTCGGGCGCTTCGCCAAATTCCGCTTGTCGCGTATAACCGCTTATAAGATACGCCCCACGTCCGTCCCTAGGCTTCACCATATATCGACGAGGCCCCTGGCGCGGAGATCGCCCGCTGTTCGAGTCTGTCAAAGTTCCCCACGGGACCTCGGCGTCGCGATGCTTTGAATCCGCCGTCCCTGGTGTTCGCGCCTGACGCTTTGGGCTAAACCATGGAGGGCGGTCGCCCGAGCGGCCGACCGCACCCAACGCCGCCGGTGCTCCGCAAGGTCTCGGGCTCGCACAGCTCCCTCGGAGACGACCGGGTACAGAGAGAATATGCAATGCTGCTGTCCTATCAGGTGCGAAGGCAAGAAAGCAAGGAAGATTCTAGGCTTCCGTGTGAATGACCAACAACGTGCGACCCCGCATTCACTACCCCTAAGGACCGCCTTCGTCTCCGACTGTCTTCATCTCCATGCTTCACAACACGTTTCCCGAAACCACAACATGGCGAGCATTACACCCTCTAAACCTCGCATCGTTACTTTCTCATTCGACGAGGAAGAATTATTTCAACAGATCTGGGTCGATTTGCTGCATAGCCTCCGCGACAAGGCCAGCCTCGAGACCGTAAACCATAAGCAGGCCGCTCTGACCTGTTTGCAGCAACACCCGACACCGACGGTGATACTACTTACAGACGCCGCCCTCACCAAGAAGTACTCAGAAGTATGGAATGCCGTCATCGCCTACGTACGTGGAGGAGGCATCGCTATCGCCATGGGCCTCTTCAGTAGTTTCGTCAGACCCAACGACATTGGTCCTCTCTTCGCCAAGGCAGGACTGCGATGGAGCGTGGGCAACTATCATCGCATGAACGTCTCGTTCAACTCAGAGGCACTTGAAGCGACCCTCCCGGCCGAGTACAGTCAGAAGGCGCAATTTCTGAAAGGGGTGGATGCAGGCGCGGTTCTTTACGGGTTCGACGATGAGTTCGGGGAGGGAACAGAAGCTGCGATTGCTTTCGCACGGGTTGGCGACGGCAAGATCGGCTACGTCGGGGATGTCAATGCTGAAGAAGGGACGACCGCCACCATCATCGCAATGTGCGGCTTGCCTGGATGAAGAACAGAACATGTACCGGATACGCAAGTGGGACCCCTTCCAGGGAAAGAGAAACACAGGGTTTAAATTTTGTTCATCGGCTTTCATTTACCCATTTTATCCCCGATCTAGCCTGTTTATCTGCGAGCATCCGACGTGATAGTCGCCAGGGATCAGCCCGTAGCCCCACGCCCGCGATGCATGGGCCCACTGGCGTCAGGCACGGGCCGCCCCGCTCGTACGCCTTCAAGTCGCGTCGCGACCATCAACTCTCCATACATGGCCACGACAAACGGCGACATCATGCTATCCCGAACTGATGCCCTTCCCGATAACCTGGAGCCGCAAAGTCGAGATGACTGCTCCAGTGACAGCAATTCATCGATATGCATACCCAGGTCGTCAAGCCCCCCTCGACCGGCTAGAGTCGGACTGCCGGATCATCTCAACCTCGACAACAAAGCAGCGCCGGCAGCCGAACCGCCGTTAGGCACTATGACAAGCGGTCCGCTAGTGCGCAAATTGAACTCTAAGGAACGGCGTAAGGAGCAACGGCGCAAGCAGCAGCGGAAGGAGGAGCGGCAGCAACGCCTTAATCCCGCAAATATCGCTGCCGCCTTGGGCGACAGCTTCGAAAAGACAATGCGTTGTGTGCCCAACGAGGGGCCTAAGCTACACCCTATAGTGTTGAACTTCGCGGGCATCATGGCAAAGCTGTCGGGCGTGCCCCACTACCCCCCTCCAGCCGGCCCGTTCTATACCGCTTCCGACCAGCTAGTGGGCGTTCTTCGGAAGCTCATCCACACCTGGGACATCGACTGCGCGCTATGCAGGCTCCATTACAAGGCCCCCGACACGACGACGCACCGATTGGAGAACTGCGACTGTCTGGATGAGTCTTCCGATGCGCGGTGCTGGCTCACAATGTTCAAGTCGTACCACGCATCCTGCAACGGCAAAGGCTCTCGGTGCTCGGAGTGCCTCTTCCCATCAACACTCTGCTTGCGTACGGTGTATCGCGAAGATATGGACGAGGAGTACGGCCACGAAAAGGAGGCACGCGAAAACTGGGGCGTCATCTACATGGAGGCACAATGTGACTGGGTCAAGGTCATTCAAAGGTTCGTGTCTGGTTGCATGGTCGTCGGGGGATGCCTCGAACGCTGCGGCGGCATAAGCGTTCTTGGGCAGCTGCGCTGGACCATATGGGCTGGCAGGATTGGCAGGGTTCTGAAGAGAGAACGGCCCCAACCATATCCAATGCTGGCTCCAAGAGATGGACGAAATCAGTGGGCTTCCGTTGCCCACGTCTGTTGAAGCTTTTCTGGTTCTAGCGCACGGTGGCGCTTGTGTTGTCGGGAAATACTGGACAAGTCTATGCTGTATTG